AATATGCACAGAAGTCCAAAGAATAATGCATTATAAAGCATGAATAACAAACATATGGAAAAAGAATTAAGAAAAAAATTCAGGATAAAAGGGTTGGAAAAAAAAAAATATCAATTGTTTAAGGTCGCCTTTCAGGATTACAAACTCATTGGCAAGGAAAAGTATGTGTTAGAGCTTTGATGCGACACTAAAGCGGCCCACAAAAGCGAGGCGAAGCCGCTCAACGTGTTTTGAAGCCTCGCTTCAGGGCTTTAAAGCGCGCTTTAAGCGCGCCTTTGACCAACACTGTTCGCAAACTCTCTTCCACATCCTTTTCTCACGTGATAGAAAATCCAAAGACCAGCTTAAATTTTTGTCACAATGTCTCAAATTTGACAACATTTTTGAAATATCCAGTTCTGCGATCTGCAACATATTTACCAAACATTCTTCCAAAAAAAAAAATATATGCAAAAGTACCTGCACACTAAGTATTTCTTCAGGATACCTAAGAAAAGCTGATCTAGAAAAAATGATCGTTTAGCCAATTTATTGATCTTCCAAGTTATGTTAGCATTGGGCACCTAGCATCCAGAAATGACACTGGGTCAAGTTTTAATATAACAAAGAGTAAATACATGGACAGTTACTGATAATTAAAAAGAATGTTTAGAAATGTAAAATAACGAGAGAGAAAAAAGAGAGAAGAAAAGGAAAAGAAAACAGTTCAAAACATTGTAAAAACTTGGAAAAATAGGCAAGGAGAGAGTTCAAATATATTATTTAAATTTTTAAGTTCACGCAGCAAGCAAGAGGCGGGAGACACAATCTCAACTTTAATGGGTTCCAAATTTCAGAACGAAGACAAAAGTGCTAAAAGCTGGGTTTCTAAATTTAATTTTACAAATACAGCAAAAGTTATTGGGTTCGACGCGAACATGCATCATGCTTATTATTGTCATTTAGATGAAAACACTAATAAAATTACTTCTTCCATCCAATTTTGTTAATCCCTTTTCCACTTATTAAAGGTAATTTTGACCAAAATTGAAATCAGGCAATATTAATACAATTCTATAAAAATACACAACATTTAATTTATATAAAATCAGCTAAGTACATCAGAACCAATGTAAACAATTTAAAGATAAGTAATTTGAAACAAATTTACGAAGAATTGTAGTCAGTTTTAAAACATCACAAAAATGTAAACCAAGATTAAAAAAATCAAAAATCTAAAAGAAAAATTGGGATGAGAAAAATATATTTAAAGAAAAAAACTAAAACACATCTTAAGGAATTTGCAAGCAAACAAACTTTCTTAATAACTTCAATCCAAATTTGAAACAAACGCAAAAACAGAAATTTTATAATCTTAAACAACTGACTCTGGATCACTCAACAGTGGTAGAAATCAAGAAAAAATTACTAATTTGAACTCAGAAAATAGAAAAACTTAAGTTGAATTTTCAAAATCCACTTGCAAAAAATTGAAAAAGGGCAACATTTTTACCCTAGTATATAAACAAAAATGTAAAGGTCAGTGTTTTTGCTAGCAAAACTAAATGGAGACGAACTTAACAGAAGGAGTAGAGAAATTAAAATAAGAGAACAGAAAACAAACCGTTTTCCGGTGGAAAATGGTGGTCGGCGGCGAGTGCCGGAGAAGTAGTGTGACGCAGCAAGGGAAGAGAGAGAGAGAAGACGTTTCAAAAAAAATTGGCCACAAAATGTGCACTTTTTAAAAAAATAAAATGCATTAATAAAAAAATATAATATTTTATAGAAAGTGATATTTAATAGAAAGGCCGCATTCAATGCGTTTTTTTTATTGAACGATTTATAAGTTGGCATCAATGGAAACGTAAGGTTGCTCTATATAAATCGCAATAGGTAATGCGATTAAAGTGTAGCTCAATGCACGTAATTATGTCGCAATAGTCAACATAATAGTCGCCGGTTGAAGCGACTTATGGCCCAACTACAAATGGGCTGAACAAATTAAGGGGTTGTTTGATATAATGGTGGGTACATGAGATAGCTAATCACACCATTTTAGTGTAAAAGTTATTACACGAGTTAGATAATAATCCCAAACCAAATATAGACAAAGCTAATCCAAACTTTAATCCCGGATTATATCCTTATCCCATGGACGCAACGACCCTAAGGAGCTATTTTCCCCCGGCCCTTCTTTATACAAGCAAAGAGGCAAGCAACCAAAGGAGAAAATAAATTAAGCAACCTAAAAAGAGAAATCGAGTTAAAGAAACTGAAATGCAGTTAACAGTGAAGCTTGGTTGGCGGCTGACGTGGCAACAATTAATTATATTAAGTTTTTACAACCGGTTAGAGTTAGTTTAGTTATATTAGTTACAGCCGTTTAGAGTTAGTTACAAGTTGTAGCTAATAAAATCTTCTAGAATCTATCAGCTGAGCATAATAATAGTTGATATACATGTAGTTTGATGAATCACTTTTGAAGATAATACATTTCTATTCTTTCTAAATTCATTTCTTCCTCATTGACTATTTTCTCGAATAAATCCTGATTATAACTGTCACCTTCTTCGAGCTTGAGCTTCCTAGATTAAGACTAATACTCGTTTAGATTCTGCTACATTGGCATCAATTGGTATCGAGATTTTCTGTCCTTGGCACATCTTCGATCATGGACTCGCAGCAAAAACACAAGAAACTGTTAAAAAATGGAAGACAAATTAACCAAGCTAATCAAGATCAATTGCAGAAGTTGATGGATGGAACGATGATTTTTGAATGAGCATAATGTACAAACTGATAAGGAACTACTTGAATTGAAGGAACTATTGGAGCTAATGAATCAAAGGGAAGGAGAAAGAGCCAGTTAGGGCAAAACGCTGCTATTGGTCGAGCTGGTTAATGGAAGATTCCGTAAGAAGGAAGAATCAGAAGAAGTTCAATCCAAGGTACGATCTTCTAATGTAACTTTTCACTCGACACTCTAAGTGGAATTTCCCAATTTCTGGTAATGATTTGAAGACTTGGTTGTACAAAGTCGACCAATTCTTTTTAATGGATGAAGT